TGTGTGTGTGTGTGTATGTGTCTGTCTCAGTGCCAGGTGCTGGGGATGCAATACCACTAATACCAACAATAATAGCTCACATTACTGAGAGCCTCCTGTAGGTTCAGGTTTTGTTCTGAGCATCAAACATAGCTGGTCTCAATAGGATCCTCCCAACAGTTCTAAGAAGTGCTGACTAATGTTATTCCTATTTTATAGTGGCCTAGCCTGAGGCTCAGAGAGGAGAAGCAACTTGCTCAGAGTCCCACAGCCAGTCAGAGGCAGAGCCAGAATCCTTCTTAGGAGTATCCGATTCCCAAACTACAGGTTTTAGCTCTCTCAGGCCAGGTTCACAGTCTAGGGGGAGGCATTTCCCAGAAAATAATTGAGCATGCTTTGAAAGTGCTAGGGGGTGGATGTCTGCTAGGCAGAGTAAGAGGCGGAAGGAGGCCTGGCAGAAGGCACATTTGAGTGCAGTCTTGATGGATGAGTTGGAATTTACCTGCAGGGAAGACAGGTAGAGGGAAGGCCAAGGGCAGAGTGGGAAATAGCTCAGAGTGTGTGTGCGTGTGCGTGTGTGTGCGTGCACGTCTGTGTGTCTGAGCAATTGGTTATGCATTGGCATGTGTGGGGGCCCTGATGGGAATAGCAGAAGTTGATGAGGTGGAGGAACATAGGCTGAGGTCCTTCAGGGAGGGTCTTGGGTACCCCACAATATTATACCACATCCCTCGTGAGTGATGGATCTCAAAACCATTGTTATTTCTCTTGCCGTGGCTCCGAGGACATCTTGGGTGGAACCCAGAGCACAGAGCAGGTAGCAAGGTGGAGGTGGTGCTGAGGACCTAGAGCCTGGCCTTCCCTCTGCCCCCCTGCATTGGTCTTGGATGTCTGCCTGGAACCCTCAGCTTGAATGTGACTGCTGGAGAGCCCCAGAGCTGAGGACAGCAGCGTTTACAGACATTGGGGGAGGGGCTGACTGTGGTGGTGAGGAGGTTGGGAGAGAAGGGCCAGAGCTAGAGGCAGGGACCCGGCTCAGGGGCATCCCAGATTGTGGCTCTATGGCTCCCGTCCTTGCCAGGAGCCAGAGCCAGCCTGATTCCGCCAGCGCCCGCCAAGTATCATAACCTCCACGGGCCTCAGTTTCCTCGTTTTTCAAATGGCAAAATGACAGATACTTCCCGCGAGCTCACCACGAGGTTCAAATGAGTTTGGGCAGGTCCTCAAAACTTACACGAGCCCGGTGCACAGTGAGCACAACGTGATTATTTTCTGTTGTCCAAAGACCAGTTATGAAGATGAAGTTTATCCATTAAATAAAAATTAGGGCTGGGGTGTAGCTCAGTTGTAGCTCAGTGTAGCACTTACCTAGCATGAGGCGGGGCCCCAGGTTTGATCCTCAGCACCATATCAAATCAAATAAAATAAAGGTTCAATTCTTAAAAAACTTACTTGTCCCTATAGTAGGGCAGAAAGATAGACCAACCCTCATTATGTTCAGGTGGGAGAAATACACAGAAAGGATGTGAAATAGGGGTCAGAGGGGCCCATCGGGTAACACAGGACTCAGTGACGTCCCCATTGAGCAACTTTGGGTTTTATTTTGAATGAGAAGGGAAATCCAGATGGTTTTGAGCAAAGAGAGGACAAGATTGATTACCTGTTTAGAGGTGAGGGTAGGCGTCAGATCCAGCGTCCGGTCCTTGTGGAGGGGCTGGTGGGTGACAGCTGTGTGTTTATTATCCCCTCTGCACACAGCAGAGCTCCGCTGGTGGGAGGGGGTTGTGAGGAGTGATCTCGGCAACGGTGATGTTGGTGTCTTCAGAAAAGAACCACCTTTCCCTCGATGCTGCGAAGGCATGTCCGCTGACCCAGAGAAGTCCGTTGTCCACCCGGCTGGGGCGTGGGGTGCGCTGGTTTATGTCCTGACCCCTTGATCACTGTTTGGCTGGCTTCACCCCCATCAGCGACATCTCCGCCGTCCCCTCTCTCTCTCACTCTGCGGTCACAAGCGGGCTTGCTGGATACACGGGGTATTTATTTATCGCTTTTCCCCCCACTGCAGTGTTTGAGAACAAAGATAAGATTGTGATCATCATGGAATATGCCAGCAAAGGGGAGCTGTACGATTACATCAGCGAGCGGAGACGCCTGAGCGAGAGGGAGACCAGACACTTCTTCCGGCAGATCGTCTCAGCTGTGCACTATTGTCACAAGGTACGGCCCAGCCTGACCGTCAGCTAGGGCCACGCAGGGCCCTGTGGATGTGTGATTCTTACCAGATGATACAAGCGATACCTGTTCATTGTGATATAAGAAGAAAATCATGGCTATTCACACTCCCCACTCTAGACCTCTCTTGGCTGCCTGGAAAGGCACCCACGATCCGGTCTTTCCGTGCTCCGTGTTTTATTCTTAGGTGCCGTTGGGAAGCACCGCTGACGCTGTTTTCATTATTTGAAGTGTGTGAACACTTGGATTCTGTATGAATGGGGCTTTCTTATGTCTCATTAGGAAAGCCAAGAATGTTACAATGTAAACCAAACAGCTCCCAGGGTTCGGAACCAAACAAAAGCAGGCACCTTGTATTCCATCGTCCTCCTCCCGGAGACGTGGTTTTGAGCATTTCCGAGTTCAGGATGCCTCCCTGAAGGCTTGGATCAGGACAAGGTTAGCAGAAAAACACGTTGTCATTCCTCTCCAGTCAGTGCTTTCGGAGATATTAGGAAATGTCACAAGGAAAAGAAAACAAGCAGCCGAGATCCTACTATAAACAGGGCAGCCGGTGTGCTCCTGAGCGCGGCTTCTGCTGCACACGTCCCTCCTGCGGAATGATGCTCAGCTCCTGCTCCCTGAGCTTTATCCACACAGCTCCCTAGAGGACAGTTGGATCTATTGCCAAACGGCCCATTCCCATCTTTCGGCTGGTTCTGTGTCACTGCAGTTCAGCTTCCAGCCTTGCCAGTGTGCCCGACGGGAAGCTCGCACAGTGTGGCAGTGTGACCCGCTTAGGTGAGGCCAGTGTCTCCATTGGTCTGCTCTGTGGTTCACCTTTCACCTGCCCCAAGTCCTGCTAAGCCCAGAGGGACTGCCTCCCTCCACCCTCCCAGCTCTGTAGGAAGTACCCGTGGTCCTCAGGGCAGGTCTCCATCACTTTCATGGGTCAGAGGACCTTGGCCCAAGCGCCTTTCCATCGGGGGATGCACACAGACAGGCGCGGCCCGGGAGCCCCGCACTCGGAGCTGCGGGCAGACGGCTCTGCGCCTTCCCTGGGAATCCCGTCTCAGACAGACGTGGTCTGTGCTGCCCGGGACGTGAGGCTTTCACATAGCGGAATTACATTCCGACAAAGAATCCCCCTGCTGGTTTACAGGCGCTGGGGGAGAATGGATTCCAGTCATTTTTCCCTTAACCACACAGCAAGTGACTAATGCTCTCCTGTCCCTGTCGCTGGCGGGGGGAGCGTCATGACAGCAAGAGCAGCCTTGAAAGATGGAGGTGCAGACCACCGGGCGGGCGCCCCTCTTTCATCTGTCAGACGTTCCCACTTGCTCGGCCTCCTCCTTCCTCTTTCTCTCTCTCATCCGGCTGCTCCTATTCAGTTCCCCTCCTGTCTTCTCATTTCAGAACGGTGTGGTCCACCGGGACTTGAAGTTGGAAAATATACTGCTCGATGACAACTGCAATATTAAGGTAAGGCTCTTGCCTCGCTGATGGATGGGCAGAGTCTGGGTTGCATGGGGCTGGGGGCGGAACCCCCTCTGGGCTGCAGCCTGGAATGAATGAGGCAGCCACTCACTTCCCTTGCTGCAGGCAAATTCCGGAAGAGCTTGGCTGGAGCTCTCAGTTTAGTGCAGTTCTATCCGACCATCATTAACTGATCTCCTACTGTATGCCAGACCGTGCTTGCTGCTGGGGTGTAAAGACATGACCGAGATACAGTTCCTGCCCTCAGGAAGCTCCTAAAGTCATCCCCCCAAAAAGTACTTAGCACCAACTAACACATATTTCATATGTATTTCCCATCCCTTAAATTCAGTCTTCATGACACCCATACAAGATAGGAGCTGCTATTTACATCATTTTGCAGATAGGGAAACTGAGGCACAGTAACACAGTGGTAAGTACTGGAGTTAGGATTTGAACCCCACGAGCCCAAGTTCATGTCACCAAGTTGGTTTTGCTAGCAGGGCCCCACCTCTCCTACTTCTCCCTCTGACCCTCTCACCCCTGACACCAGCCACAGAACTGGGAGGCCGACCAAATTGATGGTGGTGTTGGCTGTTGGGAAACGGCAAAGGATGGAGTTTACTTTTACGGGGAGTATTATTGCTGGCTGCCGTCGGAGCTGGAGAAAGCTCTCCTGGCCAGCAGGGTTCAAGGGCCTCCTGGGGAGCACTGTGAATGTCCTTTTGATCACGTCTGCAAAATAAGCAAATACGGTTTCAAAATAAACGGAGCTCGCGGCATGGGTTTCATTAGGACATGGCCTCAGTGTTCCCAGCACCAGCAGGAGCCCTCCAGTTGGCCACTTGTGACGTTAGTGCCTTATCCCTGGTCCCCGGACAAAGCATGGGAACGGGTTTGCACCCTTGTCTCTTTTGTTGTTCTTGGTGTCCGTGGTGGGGTGCGCAGCGAGACAGTTCCCGGCTGGGAAGGATGGAGTTGCTTTTGTAGATCATGGTGGCAGCCTCTGGTCACCACCACCCTTTGAGAGCCCCCGGAAGCCACATCCCGGTGACCTCTTGTTCTCCCAGAGTAGCTGACCTCAGATGTACATTTCCATATCGTCCGTAGAGTTCAGAGGAACTACTGGTCAGTTTCCCTAGGAACAGGAAGTGAATGCTCAGGATCTTTCCATTTTGGGCAGAGTGACTGGATTATTCTAGAAGGAGCACTAGATGTGGTGTTAGAAAATTCTGGGCCGTGTGACTTATTAGCTGCTTAATGTGGGGAAAGCCACACAAACCTGTTTCCTCCACGGTACAATGGGCAACGGTAATGCCCAGCGTGTTTGCTGTGGGCTGTGAACGAGATATTCTCTCGGTTCAGTTCTATTAACTGCTAAGAACGTTGTACAAATGAGTCAAGGTGAAGAGTAGTGGCTTTGGGGATGGATAGCCCGGGTTTTGCATTGCAACCCTGCCCCTTACTAATGGAGGGTTTTAGGTCAGTTATTCATGGGTCTAAGTCTTTGTTTTCTTATCTGTCAAGCAGGGATGCCTCTTCCTATCTCTGGGGATTATTGTTCATTCATTTTGTTCATGTGCATTATCTGTGTAGTTACTGTGTGCAGCGCCCTGTGCCCAGTCCTGGGGCATCAGTAACAACATGGAAAATTTAGACAATGCTATAGTGAAAGTGTTGGCGCTTACCGATGCTAGATGAGAGCCACCAAGGTTCTGGGCCCTGGAGAGGGAACCCAGAGGAAGCCATCTGGCTGAAGGTGCTGGGTCCTGGGGAGTGGGGCTCAGGTCCTGCTGCAAAGTTGGGCCCCGGCCTTCTAAAGGCTTCTGTCATCGACCTTGGTGACTTTCTCTTCAGCTTCTTCCTGCCACCTGCCCCCAGAGCCCTCACAACTAAATCCAGTCTTTACAAGGCCTGGAATGTGATCCTCTGCCTGGGGATTGTGTTCTGTGCTGCACTGTGACCTCTTTGTCCTATGATGTAGTCCCAGAAGTGATAAGGCACATAGCTTCCTGCAGAGTCATAGAATTCCCCAGTGGAGGAGAAGAATGGTTAGAATTCTGACAGCAATTGTGCAGGGGACAATGGGGCAGGAGCCTGGAAGGATGGCCCATGTCCGTAGTAAGCAAGATGGCAGTGACAGGGGACCAGCTCCCAGGGCCCAGCTCCCTCGACCTTCGTATGAGGTAGGCAAACAGCACACACAAAGAAGAACAATAACATTGAAGTTTGGACATGTCTTTGTCTTTTCCTTAGAAATTTCTACTCCTGGCATTTCCCAAGGTAGAGTGTGTGCGTGCGTGCATGTGGGCACACAAACACAAACACACACACACACACACACACACACATCCCATATAGAATCAAATCTCTGCTTTTTTTTTTTTTTTGGTTCTTTCTCTGCTTATTCAAGGAATCCTGAGAATCCCAGAGCTTGAAAGGTTGTTGAGAATCCCTTTCCAACCCCTTGTTTTAGTGATCAGTCTGAGTCTCAGTAACGCGGTTACTGATCACGCTGTGAGCCCGAGGTAGCCGTCTCTGTTTCCCTGGTGTGTCAAACAGTGCTCAGCACACAGTAGGTACTGAGGAACTGTTGGATCGTGGAGTGAAGGAATAACGGGCCGGGATTAGAACTCACATGTTTGACTTCCAGGCAAATTCTCTTTTTCTTCCTCTCACACCCACTTCCAAGGTTTTTGAAAATGGACTTCAGCTGGTGTTGATTTGTCTTCCGGCTGTATACCCTCAGCACTTCCTGACTCAGCGTTTTGCTGAAGCATATTTAGAAAGGGCACTTGCTGACAAAAGCAGCCAGACACATGGCCACAAGCTGGCCTCTCGTGTCCATCCCCCTGGACCGGGGGCCCAAGGCACAGATGGGCTACCCCCCTCCCCGGGGGGTAGGAGCGGCAAGGTCCTGCCTCGAGGCTCTGAGGGTGCCTCTCTAAATGCGGGTCACCTTCTGTGTCCAGAGGGTGGAGGGCTTGGCCCTCTAAGGAAGCCACTGGTTTTCAACTTGTGACAGTCGCTGCCATCTTGGTGTGGGCCGTGTAGCTTGCGCCTCTCCTCTTCCTTGCCTGATGTTGATTTGCCCAGAGCACATCTGGCCTTGGAAATTATTTATCTGGCCACTGCGAGAGGGTGTGGTTTCTAAAAATACTCACACAGTCGGTCGGCAGAAAGAATGAGAGCAATGTGCTGCTTTGGGTCGCATTCCGCGCTCTGTGGAAGCATGGCCTAAAATAGCACCCGGCGTAGCATTAATTTGCAATTAATAAAAACGGGCCAGATTCACATCCCACTCTCTGGGAGAATGGAATGCCGACAATTCCCAGAGAAGACTCCTGTACAGACGCCTCCCAGTGAGAAGAGGGCCCGGCACCAGGGTCAGCTAACCTCCTCAGAGAGGGCTGGGAATCTGCTGAGCTCCCAGGGCTCGGGGTAGAGGGGCATAAGGGAGATGGCCTGCTGCCCCCGGCGACAATGGGAGCACTGCTGTGGCTAAGAAAAGAGGCTTTGAATGGCCGGGGACAAGATGAGATAGAAACCTCCGGGTTTTAACAAGACTGAGGCTTGGGATCACTGGGATCACGGGCCTCTGGGCTTTGATTATTTGAATGTGAGAACTTTGCATTCCTGCACTAATCAATTCATTTGTGTTCATTCATCTCCCCACTGTGTGTGTGTGTGTGTGTGTGTCCACAAGTGTGTGTGTGCATCCATGCATTCACTCACGTAGTTCTGCACTTACTCATTGAGCAGTTGAACATCTGGGTGATATTGGATCATAAGTACTTAGTGAGTTCGCCCTGGTTTTTGGCCCTGTGCTGGATGCTGGGGATTTAATAGTGAATCAGATGACCAGGTCCCTGTCCTCTTGGAACTCAGAATCTGGCAGTTGTTAAACGGGCAGTCGTACTACCACAAGAAGGACACAGAGGTAAATGAAGAAGCTTAGGTGCTTCCCCTCGTGGATTTAGGATTTCCAGTTGGGGGTGCAAACCAATAAGTAAATGACATCATTGGTGCAGGAAACCCACTCAGGTGAGGTGGAGCGTGCAGGTGCTGATTTAGCTGGGCAGGTCAGGGAAGGCCCCTTAGGTGGGGCTTGAGCTCCTCCGTCCACCGAGCTTTCTCTGGCTTCCTGACCCTGGCACACATGCTTCTGTCTGGAAGGCCCTCCCCACTCTTCTCTGCCTGCTCTGCTTCCGGGAAGCATTTTCCGAATCTGATCCCTGGTGCCATGGGGTGTGAAGTGCTGAAGGAGCTAGTGGTGGGTCTGTCCAGGGAAGGGCCAGAAAGCCTTTGTCGAGGAGGTGGTAATAGAGGTGGGTTTTGAAGGATGGATAGGAGTTCTACAGAAAGGCATGTGACAGTGACCCTTCAAGGGAAGAAACTACAAGGTCAAGAATAAGGCGTAGAGAGTGGAAAGGAAATTAAGAAGCCAGGTTGCTCCCAGTTGCTTACTCCTCTGATCCCCAGGACATCCCCACCAGGATGCTCTGATCACCCGCATCTTGCAGATGAGGAGCCTCCTGCAGTGAATAGTAGTGGGACTGGCCACAGCCGTGTAGCCAGCACCTGCCTCTAAGTTCTACCCGTTACTGCCAACGCCCCAATTTGCTCTGGGTCCAAGAGAGCCCTTGGTAGGAAGGCACCTTTTAGTACTTGCTGTAGTCTGACTTACCAGGAGGCTTGCCGACAGCTGTCTCTGGGAGAGAATCTCCAAGGGCTTGTTGTGGCGGGGGGCCAGGCGTCCTGAGTCGCAGTGGCTGGAGCAGGTGGAGGGTGCCAGAGTCCTGTGTGCCCTGAGCCGCAGGACTGTTCCTCCGCTCCCCTGGGAGGCGGCCTCCCGGATGTGCCCTTGGGCAGCAGCTTCTCCAGGTTGCTCCCTGTTGCTGGTTGCTGTCTCTCTGGAGAGGCCGTGTGAGCGGAGACCTTCTGAAGATGAAAGCCCCTCGCCTCTGCTCATTGCTCCACTCCCTACCTTCAGGCGAGCCATTCGA